GGTGCACTGTCCATAACAGTGTATTTGGCCAGGCCTTGTAACAAAGGTTGGGCTGAACCCATGTGGCTGATGTGTAGATCAATGCTTGGGTCCCATGCCATACAAGGAAGCCCAACTGGGTAGCAGTTAGGAAGGCTAAGTGAGCACATAACCTTATTGGGCCTAAAGCCCATTTCGAACTAGGCTAATTTAAGTGGTTAAATAAGGGATGGATTCTGGAATGGATTAGCAGATAGCATAGGGTCTTAATCCTTTCCACTCTGAGAGTCCAGATCTGAATGTGATTCAGATTTGGAAACCTCCTAATGAGATTAGGAGAAAGCTAATCTAATCTGCAGATAAGATAAGGGTTTATCCTTATCACCTAAAGGGATGTCTGATCCAAATATGATTTGAATCAGCAACTCCTAATGGGACTAGGAGCTGATCCTTTAAGGTTACAAAAGAAGGAAGGGATGATAGCCTTTAGATTATCACAAGATCATCAGATTACTTTAAATCTTTAGAGCTGAAATCGCAGAAGAGAGAATTCAGCATACATGCGAAAATTCTCTCTTGCCGCCTCCTTCCTGTAGCCGCCTCACCTGCCAATTCGACCTCCTTTTTAGTGGGAGAAATCAAGAATTGATCTTGATATCAGTTCCTTGTGAAGGGAATGATAGGAGGTTGTGCTCACGTGCCATCCTGTTATTTCTTGCGAAGGACTAGGTTCTTGGAGAAGAACACTACTGATTCTGCTCCATCCTACACTACGCCATCTTTAGTGGGAGCAGTCTTTGGATCTTTCCTTGGGTGTGAACACCTTCGTTGGGAGAAATTATTTCTCCGTATCAGGTATAATCCTCTCCTACTGCTTTTTGTTCAGATCGGGTTCAGTTTATAGTTCAAGATTGATCCTTGAAAATATGATTTTCTAAATAGGGAATGCGATTCCTAGTTGGAGGGAGTGAAATTTTTTTCAAATTCMCCCACCTTATTCCACAAGATTTGGGCGTCCATACGATGGATCTCTCATCCCTTCAGTGATATCAGAGTCATGGTTCCAATCTTGAACCAATTCTTTTCAGATCTGAACCTGCGCAAATGGGCAGAGGGCGTTCTACCCGATTTGCGCGGATAAGGGTTTTGGGAAATTGTTCCCAATATTATGGGCGAATAATCTGAAATTAAATTTTACATAAATCTGATTATTGTTTAGAATTGTTTTTTTATGATTTTCTTGATTTATGGACTGTTCATACAAAAGGAGATCAAAATCTTGATTTGCGCAGGGAACCTGCGATTTTGCAGTTTCTGGATTATTTTATTACATTTGGTCTGTAAAATAATTTTTTTTTTCGACTGAATGTATAAGTATTCGATCTGATGTAATTATTAATAGAAATTAGGTTTTCTATTTATTTTATTTTGGATCGAAGATGGCATCGCAGAGGAGAATTTCGCAGATGGGAGAATCGCAATCTGTGATTTGCAGTTTATGAAACTGCAAACTGTGATCTAACCTCTGTTTTAGGGGATGGATTGTGCGAACAGCCCTGTTTGACTGATTCTTGATTTTCTTTTATCGGAATTTAATTTCAGATTATTTTCTTGAATTAAATATTTAATTAAAGATCAAACCCTAGACCCATTCGAACCAACATTGGTTCAAATTGTTTGGACCAAATCTAGGGTTCGAACAAGGCTGAATGTCAGCCCTAATTTTTCCCAAAATGGGCCTGTGGATTGATAATTATTTAAATGCTTAATTCGGCCAAACCTGTAAAGGCCCAGTTTTAAATAGTTAAAACTGCTAAAAGCTCACTTAATAGACAAGCTATATGGGCCGAACCCTTCAACCCTAATTCAGCCCATATACCTAGATAATATTAATGGTTAATATTATG